CTTGACCAGAATTGAACCTGGGACCCTTCAGTCCACAGGCCGACGCTCTACCCATTGAGCCAAACCAGTTAGGGCTGGACCTAGTAATTTGATAACACTGGAAATGAGACTCTCTTTCCGCCCTGGTTTGCTGTGTTATTGTTTTAGTGTTTTATTTGTTTGTTTAATTTTCATAGGCTGTCTCTATGTCAAGGGTCAGCCTGATGTGTAAACTTAGTCTTCTCAGGTCTTTCATGAGCCTGTCCCTGGCATGCATGGTCACTTTCTAATTTTCCCTGTATACTAGTATGCAGTTATTTTTTAATGGGCTACTGTTTAGCACCTCGTCCCCGAAACAGGGTGGTGGCAGGAAACAAAGGGCATCAGCCTTTTAAAGCCCCTGGAAGAAATTTCAACCAGAGAGGAACAGGCTTGCAACTATGGAGGAGGTATATTGTCTAATGGTTGTCCATCTCTTCATCTACACCTGTGATCAGACACAATAGCTGGCAATGAGAGCACAGATATCTAATATTTGGAAGACATAGTCCTTTATACCTATCCTGGCTCCTACAAACTGTGTATAAGCTGCTCTGGGAACATATACACAGCTACCTACTCCTGGATTGGGAATGGGGGATGGGTAGCTGCTACTGTGCTAAGAGCTGAAATTGATCAAAATTAACTACAGTTTACCATCCAAGTCTTCCTCTGGAGGTTGCGAGCTTTCTATAGACTCCAGAGTTCCAACATAGTTACATCAGACAATTGTCGAGGTAGGGAAACAGATTCCTGGTGCTTCTGCTCTGCTATCTTTCTAGAATCCTCCCCTAGTATGCTTTCTTTTCCTGATATAGAAAGTAACAGGAAAAACAAACCAGAAAATATTGAAGCTGACTGTCTATAAGAGTATGTTGAGCAAAATGGGATAGATGGAATATGGGAGGGAATGATATTTCTTTGAGTATACTTTTTGTGTGCTGTTGACTTTTGAAAGCATGATAACATTATACATATTTGAGCAAAAATAAATTAAGAATTGGAAGCAGGGAATTTTATAACTGAAAGTGACAGAAATGAAACTAATTGTATTTCAAATGAATAACATAACCCTAAAGAATGGAAGGATGAACTAATCCAAGTACCTTATGTACACAGTATTTGACAAATATGCTCAATCTTGGGCAGGGTTGGAGGTGTATATGCGGGGGGGGGGGGCGGTTGCAAACAAATCCTGAGCTCTTTTTAATAAATTTGTATGTTATAGTGGTATGGGCAAAGTGATTCTGAAACTATTTTAAATGTATCATAGACTTGAGTAAAGAAGAAAATGTGTTTATGGTATTGGGAGACAGGGTACTCACTATGGAAGAAAGGACATACAAATATGAAATCGGGGCAGGCAACAATGACCCCTATGGGGATAGATTGAAATTAGAGATTCTGGTATGAACACATGATCTCTAAAATATGTATATGTATGCATATAAGTGTGTTCATGTGTATACACATATGTATGTGTGTGAATATATTTTTCCTAGCTGTGACTGCGGAAAGGGCCACAGAGCAAAGTCAGTCCAGTAGCAATGAGCACACTTAGTGCCTTCTGGAGCTATCATAACAAATTATCACAAACTGGGGGGCTTAAAACAACAGAAATTTATTCGTTCACAGTTCAAGATGCCAAAAGTCCAAAATCATGGTGTTAGCATGGGTTGGTTCTTTTGGAGGCTCTATCTGAGAGAGAATCTTTCCCATGCTTCTCCACTAGCTTCTAGTGGTTGCTGGCAATCTTTAGTGTTCCTTGGCTTGTAGCTGCATCATTACAATCTCCTTTATGTCTCCCTGTTCTAAACATTTGAGTTCTCAGGCTCAGTTCTCAGATCCAAACCATCTAGGAGTTTCTGTGTGCTGTCAGAGTCATTTCCCAATCTCAATCTAGTGTCTTTATTCACTCACCTTAGTTGGTGCATGTGATAGTCTCCTAGGAACTGTAAGATCCTTCTCCCTTGAGGTCTTACTCAAAGTCAGCTCCCTATTACCTATTTCCTGATTCAAAGCAGTTGGTACAGTAGGGAAAGTCTCATATATTACTCAGAGCTCACATTCTGGAAGAAGGTAAGGGGCTGGAAACGATTTCTCACATCCTGGAGAGGTCTGAAGTATAACCATCCTTTCAAAATTTAGAAATCTAGAGCCCAGTTTGGAGAAGGTACTGGTTGAAGGTCATTCATCTACTGGCAATGTCTGAGCTAATGGTAGATGTCTTTGTGCTCTCCTTAAGTGGTGATTTAACATATTTGTGTCAAGGACTTCCTCAAGAACCTCATGAAAGCTGCAGACTTTTTCCCAGAGGGGGTTAAGGGTACTTATCATAATTCTTTTTCATCTAACTTCAGAAGCTACATGGTTCCTTGAAGCACATCCATACCTCAGATTGCAAAATTCTATCAGAAAAACCCAAAATATGGAGAATCAGTCTTCAACAAATTAATGGTGGGGAAAAACGGGGGAGAGGGGAATATAAATGTTTAATATGTCTTAGGAAGTATAACAATCAAGATGTAGACCTTGTTTGAATTCTGATTCAAACTAAGTGTAAAAGGACATTTGGGGTGAAAACCAGGAAAATGTGCATAGAGTATTGGATGATATTAAGGAATTATTTTGTTAGATGTAAAAGCCATCATGTAAGAAAATTTTATTTTTTTAGAGTATCAGAATATTTAGGGTTGAAAGATGATGTCTGCGATCTTTAAAAATATTTCAACAAAGGAAAATATGAAGCAATTTTTGTACGATGTTTATAATTAAGTCTAGGTGATGTGATCTGGGAGTTCATTATAATACTCTTGAATTTCTGTGATTGACATTTTTCATAATAAAAAGAAAATACAAACAAGTCCTGCTCACTGCCATTCTGACAAAGATGAGGATTTCTAGGCTGTCACAGCCAGTACTCAGGTTTTGAGGTACTCTAAAGAGCCTTTCATAGACTTCCTCACTCTAGAACCACAACAGACTGTTTCGTCACTGTGGGGTTTTTGTTTTTTTATAATCCTCATCCAAGCATATATTTTCCATTGATTTTTAGAGAGAGTGGGAGGAAGGAGAGAGAGAGAGAGACATCGATGTGAGAGGCACACATCAATTGATTGCTTCCCACATGTGCCCTGACCTGGACTGGGGATCGAACGTGCAACCCAGGTGCATGCCCTTGGCGGGAATTGAATCCATGACCCTTTGGTGAGAGGATTGGCACTCTAACTACTTAGCCATACCAGTCAGGGTTCACTAATTTAATTTAATTTTTTACAAAGGACCCACTGCAAAATGAAGTAGATAGGTATTGCTATTCCCTTTCCTGGTCTTTCAGTGAATTTGTCCATCTGATCTATGTTGTCAAATTTGTGGACATAGAGTTGTTCCTCATAGTCCCACGTTTGTAATTTGTGCACTATTCTCTTTTTGACATAGACAAATAAACAGAGGCCAAAAAGGAGAAGTAATTCAGGTTGAGAATACAAAGCCAGCTGGATCATGCTTGCTTTTGCTGCCTTGTCCAGTTGTTAGGTCACTCATTCCTTATAAGGCTCTCTGCCCCATGCCCACAGCTCTCATATACTCCATGTGGCCTAATATGTAGTCTGGCATGGAAGAGCCCAACAATATACCTAGGGCTGTCATTACCCTTGGCCTCCAAGGTGAACCCAACTTCTCAGAATGTTCTCTTTCACCACAAAATCAAACTCAGGTGGAAGAAGTAAAGTAACAAGAGAGGTGAAATGGAGGTAGCAAATGGCACAGGTGGGCTACTTGTTAGAAGCTGGAAGACTCAGCTTAACTGGAAAGAGGCAGTTCTAAAATCTCCATGGTGGAGAGAGATGATTAGGAAAGGAACATGATTACTGACAGTGACAACTTCCTCACTTTACTATACCTTTCCCCTAACTCTTGTCTCCTTAATTGATAGAAGAATCATAAGTCCCTAGGCAATAGGGCAAGGAGAGGGAGCTATTTGAACTTTCACTTAATCTTCCAAATTCCAACATCTTCCCCAAATCCTATGTCCAGGTATTGAAAAAGGAAATGAAAGACATAGGCTTCCCTCCTTTTCTTTCTGCTTTAACCTCAAATGGCCTTTTCCTTTGTACCATCCAGTAATGAAGTATTAGCTAGAACTTGTTGAAGCTCTTTCCTTTACTCTGAGGGTCTCCTCAACATCCAACACTCCTGCTGTTTTGGTCTCAAGTCATCAGCATGCTATGATCAGGGAAATAGAACCTGCCTCCACCGCATAACCCCCAAAACTAAGGGGGAAAATGCTGGGTTTTCTGACTCAAAATCCATTTTTTTCTATTATATCAATGCCTCGTATTAATGTGAAATATACATTCATTTTTGTGCCAAGGTGCTTTCCTTCCTATATAGGCTTTAGGAGAGGATGATGGGATACAAGAAGGAAGAGGACAAGAACAGATGTTTCTGTCTGAAGGCCTCCAGAGGGTGAGCACCACTTGATTCTGGTTTTTCAATATATTTATTTATATATATATTAATTATTATTGATTTGAGAGAGAGATGGAGAGGGAAAGATAAAACATTGATAAGCTTCCTCCTGCATGCCCCCTACTGGGGATAGAGCTTGAAATCTGGGCATGTGCCCTGACTAAAAATCAAACTGTTGACCTTTCAGTGCATGGGACAATGCCCAACTAACTGACCCACTGTCCAGGGCTTCTGGTAAGTTTTCTCAACTCTGGAGTATGTATGTATCTGGTGTCCATGGCTACATTTCTGGAGAATCAACATTTGAATAAAAGGGACATATCACAGAGCTTGTTGGATATGGGAACTTCATCTTTATTCCACATATAGAAGCTGGCTTCTGGAGCTGGGTAGGGAAAGGGCTTTGGCCTGGCCCTACCTCTGTATGGGCCCTAGGAATAAAGGTCTAGATCTGGTGGCAAGACCTTTCTCCAGGTGGGAATGAAAAGTCCTGATGTCCAGTCAGTCCCAAATTATGGGGTAGGAGCCACAGTGTGGGGCAATTCCTTGGTGAGGTGAATATCAGCTTGGGGCAGGCTCTTCCAGGCAAGTTCTAAGATGCCATAATGGGCAATGCCCATTGGAAGCATAGTATGCACATTGTTCTGCCCTGAGAGAGACACCACCTCCTGGAACTCTAGAGGACCTCTAGGGATGTGAGAACGACCACAAAATAGGTGGTAGAACAATCGCTCCCCAGGAACCAGCTCTATGGCCTTTAGGGACTCTTTGTAGATGATCTTATGGGATTGGGGTTCCTCTTTCTGTAGCAGCTCCTGTAGCAATCTCTGGATTCCAGGGGACTTAAATTGGTACAGGTCCATGAGGTGGTAGAATTTTTCTGTCCAAGCAGCACTGTCTCCTGCGTATTGCTCCTGCAACATCCGTAAAACATGGTAGAGTGCCACAAATGTCTCCCATAGAGGCACTTCTTCCTGTTTTTTAGAGCTGGGCTGTGTCATCTTCTCCATCTTGGGCAATCTGGGAAACCTGCTTTTATCCTTAAAAGCCCAGAAGTCCTTCTGAAACATCAGTGCTAGCATTTGTTTTTCTACAGAGGCATGGGCACCTGTGACAATGTCTCTTGTAGCAGGATAAACGTGTTGCTTCTCCATATCCTTAAGGGCACTGACTATCTGCTCTGCCCGTGCACTCCTGTAAGGTTCTCCTAGAAGTTGCCAATTTATAGCCTTTGGGTCTGGAATCCTTTTGTTAGCTAATGAGGAAAAAGCCAAAGGTTTTAGATGGCTTTCCTTTTCCTTTCTTTTTATAGGAGGGATCACTTTCAAGTACTTAGGACCCATGAGCTTCGTACTGGGTTTTGAGATACATGTGCTTTGTGATTCCAGAACCTGCCTGTGACGGTAAATGATAGCTTCAAGTTTGGCTAGATGCATCCACTCTAAGGTTCCCTTTGAGATAAGATCTTTGACAAGCTGACACAATCTGTGGAAACTATCTCTGGAAAGCTGTTTTCCTGACTCTGTCTGTTCTAGGACATCGTGGATCCATTCTATATCTGAGAGGCTTACATCTGCAAATACTTCCTCAGCTGGGATTTGGGGCACAGGTAATTGTACCTTAGTTTGTCCCATCAGAGTTGGATGATGCTTCGAAAGCCACTGCCACCTATCCCCTAGTGGTTTGCCTTGGAGTTTCTGTTCTTTTTTGCTCTTCCTCAATATGTGGGATAAATATGGGGTCTTGAAATATGGCTCTTGGGACTCCAAAACTGTATCCAAAACTTGTGGAGGAATGGGCTGATATTTCTTCAATAGCTCACGTTGCTTTTCCATAAACTTTGTCTCTGGGAATATCCTGGGTGTCTCAAGTACTGTGGCCTTATCTTTCCAGGGTATTTGTTTCTTAGACTCTGGCACTGGTATAGTCTTTTCCCTCCCCAGAGCTATTGAAATCAGTTTCTTGGAAGGGATCTTTGGAATTTCCAGGTTTATATCCCTGTCTTTGCCCTCAGTTCTTTTTCTAACAGAAGGGACTGTTTCTTTTCTTTCTAGATCCTTTCCTCTTTTTTCTTGTAACTTAAATAATATTTCTTTTTTAAAGATTTCTTTTTCCTTGTCTACTTCTTCCATTGAACTTTGCGCTGCTCTCTGCGCTTTCTCACTCAAACTTTCTAGCTCTTCCTTAATCATGCTTTTATCCTTCTCCAACACTTCCTTCTCCTCCTCTGCTGCCACTGCTGCCGTCTTCTTCTTTTTCTTTGTCTTTTTCTCCTTTTCCTCCTCCTCTTCCTCCACCTCCTCCTCTTCTTCCTCCTCTTTCACCTTCTTCTTTTTCTTTGTTTTCTTCTTTTCCTCCTCCTCTTCCTCCACCTTTTTTTTGTCCTTCATCTTCTTTTCCTCCACCTCCTCTTCTTCTTCCTCCTCCTCCTCTTCTTCCTCCTCCTCCTCTTCTTCTTCCTCCTCCTCTTCCACTTCTTCTTCCCCCATCCTTTCATTATCCTCTTCCTCCTCCTCCTCCTCTTCCTCCTTTTCCTCTTCCTCCTCCTCTTCCTCTTCCTCCTCCTCCTCCTCCTCCTCCTTCTCTTCCTCCTCCTCCTCCACTTCAGACAAACTCTCTCGCTCCACTTGATCTAACAGGCTTTCCATTTTTCCAGAAAAGCTCTCTTCACTTTCTACTTCATCCCCCTGACTGGGAAATTCTTCTTGGGGCATTTTAACTCTCTTTAGTGGTTTTTTTTTACTTCGCTTTTGTTTAAGAAATGACATTTCTTCTTCTTCCTCTGTTATTCCTGCCTCCTCTTCTCCCTTCATGATTTGTCTCCGTTGCCTGGATAGTCTGTTTTCCTCCTCAGTTATTTTTTTCTCTTTCTTTATCATTCTTCTTATTTCTTTGGCCAGTTTTCTCTGTTTCCTAGCCAGTTTCTCCTCATCTTGGGTCATTTCTGATTGTTTCTCAGAAATATCCAACTTCCTGGCATCAAGTTCTTTTTGTTCTTTATTCAATATTCTTTCCTGATCCAAGAATGACCTTGCTATCTGTGTCATCTGTGTTTCTTCCTGGGTTACTATCCTTTCTTTTTTGATAAGGTTTTGAAGTACCTTTATGATTGTTTTGCTCATTTTTGATAGTTTCTTGAAAATGTTCCCTTTAGTCAACTTTGTTATTTCTTTGGTTAGCTTCCTTTCTTCCTGGGCATAAACTCTCTCTCCTCTGGCAAGTTCTAATTTTTCTTTGGCAATGTTACTTTGTTTTGTGGCCAATATCCTATCTTCATATGCCAGTATCTTCTCCACTAGTGACAATTTCCTTTTAAGTAGTTCTAGTTCATTCTTATTCAGTTTCCTCTGTGTTAAGGTTTCTTGAATCTCTCCCTTTGAGAGAGTTTCCTTTTCTTCAACCAGTCTCACCTTCTCCTGGGCCAGTTTCTTCATTGTCATGCCAAATTTCTTTTCTTTCTTAGTAATATCAGCTTCTCTATTGAGCAGGTTCAGTTTTTGAAGTACTTCCTTCTTCTCGATAGTGAATTTCATTTTGTCCTGGGCTAGCTTCTGCTGTTTCTCAGCCAGGTTTTCCTCTACTTGGGCCAGTTTTTCCTCTACATTGGCCAGTTTCTCCTTCTTCTGGACAATTTCCTCCTTTTCCTTCACCAGCGTCTCCTCTACCTGAAACAATTTTTTTTGGTACGTGTCCAGTTTCTCCTTTACTTGCACTAATTCATTTTTGTTCTGGGAAAGGTTTTCTTTAAGCCGGTGCCAGTTCTCTTTCCTATGAATCAATTTTACCTTCTCCTGACCCAGCTTCTTCTTCTCCTGATCCAGAGTCGTCGTCTTCTTGGCTAGTATTTTCTTCTTGTTTGCAAGTTCCACTTTGTTCTGGATCAAAATTTTCCTTTCCTGGGCCATTTTTTCCTTATTCTCCATCAATTGCTCCCTTTTCCGGGCAAGCCTTTCTTCTTCCTCAGGCATAAATTCTTTGTCCTCAGCCAGTTTATTCTCTTCCTGGATCACCAGCTCTTCTTCCTGGATCAGTTTTTCATCTTCCATAGCCAGTTGATCCTCTTTCCAGGCCAGTGTCTTCTCCTTCTGAGCCAGTCTCTCCTCTTCATTAGCTAATTCCTCCTCTTCCTGATTTAGTTGCTCTTCTTTCCAAGCCATTTCCTCCTCTTCCCATGTCATCTCCTCCAATTCCTGGGTTAGCTCCTTTTCCTGCCATGCCAGATCTTGCTCCTTTTGGATCACTTCCTCCATTTTCGGGACTAATATAGTTTTAACCTCAACTAGCTTCCCTCCTTTCTTTGCTATTTTCTCTTCTTTGCCAGCCAGTTTCTCCAATTTTCTGGCCAGTTTCGTCCTATTCTGGGCCAATTTCTCTGCTCCCTGGCTTAGCCACACTGCTCTTTGGGCCAATTTTTCCTCTTTCTTGACTAGCTTCCTCTCTGCCTGGGCCATTTTCCTATCTCTCTGAATCAGTTTCCCATGATCTCTGGCAAGTTTCCTCTCTTCCTGAGCTAGCTTTCCCTCTTGTTTTGCCAGCCTCTCTTCTTCTTGTGCCAGCTTCCTCTCTTCTTGGGCTCGTTTTCTTTCAGCTTGGGTTCGTTTCTTCTCAACCTGGGCCTGTTTATATGCTTTCTGGATCTGTCTCTGCTCTTCTGTCAACAGCTCTTCTTCTCCTTCTCCTTCTTCTTCTTCTTCTTCTTCTTCTTCTTCTTCTTCTTCTTCTTCTTCTTCTTCTTCTTCTTCTTCTTCTTCTTCTTCTCCTTCTCCTTCTCCTCCTTCTCCTTCTCTTTCTTCTCCTTCTCCTTCTCCTTCTCCTTTTAATGTTTCTTTTTCCTGAGACAATTCTTCTATCTCCAGGCTCAATTCCTCTTCATCCTTGAACTTTTGCTCCCTGGACATGTCTGTCATAGTTTCCCAGACATGTGCCCCCTCATCCCATCCCAGCTTCCTCTTTTCCCCAGCCAGCTTTTCCTCATCTAGAGGTAGCTTCTCTTTGTCCTCTTGTAGTTTCTCCTCTTCCTCAAGAGTCTCTCTTTCCCAAGTCTTCTTCCATTCATTCCAGGATACCTTTGTCTCACCATGAGCCTGTTTCCACTGATCCCAGGATTCCTTCCATTCCTGCAAAGACAGCTGCTTCTTATCCATAACTGGTCTTACTTCTTGCTCAACCACTTTCTCCTCTAGTTTGGCCATTTCTCCCACTTCCAGACTCACATCCCACTCTCTTGTGGTCATTTTCTTCTCTTTTTTATCCACTTTTATTTCCTTCTGGACTACTTTCCTCTTTTGCACAGAGGGCTTCTTAGATGGTTTCTTATCTTCTTGCTTCAGCATTAGTTTCCCCTTGATTAGGTCACCCGGTTCTAAAAAAATAACTTTCTTTTTCTTCCCCTTTTTGGAAATCACCTGGATTTCCTGTAATTCCTGTATATCTCCTGCTTCCTTTTGTACTTGACCCTGCCCCTCTGGTATTTCTTTACTGTCCCTGCTCACCATGTCCTCTCTAATTGCTGCTTCATGAATAAAAATTGGTTTCTCCTCTGGCCAAGCTACATCCCAGTCAAGGTTCTCAAGCAGAACTTCACTTTCTTTCTTCACCAGGGGACAGATCTTCTGAAAGAGCTCCCAGCTGGGGCGCTTATCTGCCAGCACCTTCTGAGCCATGGTTACTAACTCAGTGTTTAGAGATTCCAACATTGTTGTTTGGGAACCAGATATCCTCAGGGTCATAAGACGACATAGATCATCTCGCCAGGATGAGCCATCTCCAGGGGTAGCCCTGCGGCCAGGAGTTCCAAAGGCACCCCGCCCTATGTCTTGCACCTTCTTCACAACTGGTTCTTCCTTTACATCAGGCAGAGGTTCCTCAATTATAACTTCAGCTTGCTTTGTCTTTTTTTTATGCCTCTTTATGTGTTTCTGAGCTGTTTTCTTTCCTATTTTGTCTTGTATTTTCCTTAGCATTTTCAGGGTCATTGCAACATCCTTTGAGATATCTTTCTCTGAAGGCTGTTGTTCAGCATCTTTAGAAATTGGAGAACTCAAATAGATGGCTGTATCCTCCATCTCAATTGGTGCAACTTTACTCTGATCAATTTCACCTTCTAAGGGACTTGGCTCTGTGCCAGTCTCTTTCAACTTCTTCTGGGCTGCAGAGAAAATCAGGAGATATAGATAAGAAAGCATGGGAGGCTTAAATAAAATATTTTTCCAATATCTAGTATGAGCTAGGAGGACTGCTATAAAAGAAAGAGCAATAGAGGGGGCTGAGGCCAGTGTTCCCACCCAAGCCTTGGAGTCTTCCTGAGTTTGGGTAGATTCTTTCTAGGAAGGTTCTCTGTGAAAAGATCTTTCCACTTATTTCAACTCCTATCTGATATCTCTTGACCCACTTTAGCCCTAAACTACCTTGCTCTTGGGACTCTGAGGCATGAAGTGGATCACCCCATACATACCATGCTTTCTTCCCCCTGCCCGGCCCCGTCTGTGGCCTTTGCTGGGCTTGATGACAACTTCAGGTTCGTCTGGAATTATATCAGATTCATCAGGAACGGCTATTGTTTTAGAAATCCTTGAGACATCTAAAGAAAAAAAAGGCTTTTCATCTCCATGTGACAAGGTCAGGTTTTCATTTAATCGCTGCTCCACTTGAGTATGAAGAATTTGGAGATCTGTGACCCGCATCCCCAGCAGACTGTCCAGGCTTTCTTCACCAATCATTTCCTGCCTATGAAAGTTAAAAGAGAAGGAGCATGCTGAATTAGGGGCAAGAGAAAATGAAAAAGAACTAAAGTGCAACAAGCAGGGGAGTTGGCAAAGTGGACAACAGGGATGGTGTATGTAAAGGTAAAGGATGGTCAAGAAGAAAGGAAATGTCTAGGAAGATAAATGGCAATTAATGGAGTGATCTGTATGGAGGCTGCAGGAATAAAAGAAGAAATGGAAAAATGACTGAGGAGTCAGGGGGTTGTCAAAATAGTCTAGGAATGAGAAAAGATTGTGAACAAGGAAAAAGAACAGGAAAAGCCAAGAAACAGGGATGAAGAGATAGTGAGAGAATGAAAGGGGAAAACTGGGAAGGGAGAGAAGAAAATTAGAAGCTAGTAAAGAATTAAGGAAGGCACAAAGAACTTACTGCATCCCCTGGAAAGTATCTCGACTCTGGATCAAGTTTAAGAGTGAAGTCTTAGAGTGGATTCCAGTGTCAGCCATGAGGTTCAGTGCCTTATTCCTCACTCTTTGGTCCTTGTCCATTAACCCTTGGGCCAGAGCCATGGCAAAGAGATGAGTGATAATTCCTAGACGATTCAGCCCTTCCCAGGCTAGCTCTCGGATCAGTGGATTAGAATTGGTTGTATCATCCAGCAGACGATGGGCTGTTTCAGAGCGCAGGGGTGCAGACACTTGGTAAGAAGCAAAGATTTGCCCTAGTGCACTAACACAGTGTTGGTACTTCAATGGAGGAGGAGCATAAATCATAATGTTGAGGATTGTCTCAATCAAGCTATTAATAGCTACTTCATTCATCTTTTTTCCCAGCCAACTACGGTTTGTTGTGTCTGTAAGGACACTATAAGTTATGTCCTTGGACATTCTCCTTTTTATGAAGTCTTCATCTTCCTTTTCCTGTGGTTCTGTTACATCATGTGTAGGTTTTACCTTACTGTGCCAGAAGAATTGTTGAGACTTGTCCCATTCCAACTTCCGTATGGGTGAATGCAGGTTGCACTGTAGGTATATTGGGCTGCCCTCTGGCCAAAGACGGGCACGAATCACTGAGTTAGGGATATAGCAATCAGGAGCAAAGGGCCATTTCCGCCCATGACCAAAGTAGCATTTCAGTATCTGATAAGGGTTGAGTCCATCCCAGGCAGTCAACTGTAGTTGGGGAGGAACCACATAATGGGGATCAGATTTGCTCAAGGGTATAACAGTGTCTTCCCTTTTCAAGGAACCAGGTCTTGAGGTAGACAGTAATACGGAGCTTCCTTGCTCATCGTCTTCTATGACATGTGGCACAGTATGGTCAAAGGCAATGGCCCGCTTATTGACAAGTTTCTCCAAACCCACTAATACTTGTTGCCCTTGTCCAAGGTAGATATACTTGGGCACAAATATGGTCTCAAAGGAGAAGAAGAAGCTTGGTATGAAAGGCTTAGGGATTTCTAGCACGTCATCTGTGATGCTCATAAAGGAAAGGCGAACCAACAGGGTTGGAGGAAGTAGTTTTAAACAGGATACCAGATAAAGACTCTGGTTGAAAGTCACAAGCAGGTCACCCCGATCATTTGCAAAGCAGAGTGGACCAAAATGCAATGTTGAGTCCAGCATGGCTACAAGTCCACCGTGAAAGTTCCATATTCGAACAGAGCCATCAATACTACCTGTGACAAAAAGACTCAAGGTCAGGCATACATCAAAGGAAGTAATTGCATACTGATGCAGAGGCAACGTCTCTATAAACTTTGCATGTGTCTCAGAGGGCAGAAAATCATGGAATTTCCAGAGACGCAAACAGTTAGTTTCTGTGATGGCACCCACAGACTTTGGCAAGAGTATCAGGTGTTTTAGGTGACAGCTGCTGAGAATGCTAGCTAGAGGACGCAGATGTACTCTAGTCCCATTAAGCACAGCTTCTGATAGGCGTATGTAGTCATCCATTCCATAAGAACAAAGCAAAGAGTTTTCTCGGCCACCTAAAAGCCCTCCAGGCAGTGTAGAGAGGGCCAATACAGCCCCAAAGTGCATGAATTTCTCTATTCTGGCACAGCTGTGCTGGGAAAGGACTCTTATCATACCACTCTGGTATCCAGAAAACATTAGTCCTTCTAGGCCCCGACCCAGGTGGAAATGCCCATAAGCCATGCATTGTACTGAGTCCTGAGAATTTGGTGAGGTGCATAAAAGATACTTGGCTGGGCAAGGGCAGCGGGTTGTGTCAAAGACCAGCACCTCTGAGCCCCCTGTTGCTACAAAGAGTTCCTCTTTATCAGAGTCATAGGCCCAATCCACAGCCTGGTCCAGGATTGAGAAGGGCCAGGTGAGAACCAGAAGCTCCCCTGTTACTGGGGACACAAAGCGTAACAAGCCATCCTCCGTAGTACATAGGATCCGGAACCAGTTATTACCACAGCAGACCCGACGAACCTGCTCTGGAGCAGAGCCACAAACATTGAAGAGGCTATAGAAACAGGGCAGACGGCGCAAGGAGAAAGCATGGGCAGTTTGGCAGAAGAAAGTAATGTTATCAATAAATTGGAGTCGATACAATTCCTCGCCAAGTTCTAGTTGCCGCAGCAGGTTCCCAGAAGTAAGGCTCCACTCCTTCATGAAACCCTCCTTACCAGCTGTTAGCAGGGTGTGGGCTTCTGGCCGGCTGCAGATACATATTACTGATGAAGAATGGGCCTTGAAACTGTGGAAAGAGTAGCTCTGACTGAGGCTCCATACCTGGATGTACCCAGTCCTATTTCCAGCATAGAGAAAGCCCAGATCAAAACAGGTGAAGCAGCAGGTGATAGATGAGCCACTAGTGGTAGAAGTGAACCTCTTCACTTCTCCTAGCTGGCTCAGGCCCTGGCGCTCAAGGACCCTCACCACAGTCTCACACAGGGCTAGGAGGTTGCCACTGGGGCCATTCAATATGATGTCCTGGACAAGTTCATCACCAGGCATGGAAACTATGTGGGCGACTTGGAGGCCCCTGCCACTTTGCTCAATGGTCCAGGTGACCACTGCCCCCAGGATACCTGACAGAAGCATCTTCATTTCTGGGTCATAGCAGAGGCAGTTGATGTTAAAGCGGCAAGGCACTATACCCAGGGGTTTGAATGACCGAAAGTGGTCCCCAAAGAGCCGCAGAAGCAAGTCACCACAGTAGGCCACAAGGATATGAAAGGAGCCTGTGTGTACCATACACTGGATGGGCGGCAATCGTTCAGTCATGGAGAATGTTCTCTTCTCGACCATGTCCTCAGTTTTGCTCTTCATCCATACTACAGCCTAGAATAGAATAGATGGAAACTGCCTAGAAATGATAGTAGAAGAGGAAAGGGGAAAATATTCAGCTGTTTTCCCCTATTCTCATACCAAGGAGGAATTAGAAGATTCTAAAATAATTTTACCCCTTGATTATGGTGATTGTAGAAGCAGGAAGCATAAGATTCTTTCCTTAACCTTGGCCTACTTTAGGGAAACCATAAAATCTATTTAATGTGAAGACTGTAATTTGAGAAAGTATGAGGGAGAATTCCTGGTGCCAGGTCACTTTTTTAAAAAAAAAAATAAGAGTTTGTTTAAGCCATAATGAGGACATATGTCTGGGAGCAAAATCTCACATGTTCTCTAGGTCACTGGGTGAGGGCTTATATGGGCAAGGCCCCTGTAGAATGGGCTAAAAAGAAGAAAGAGTAGGCAGTTTTACCTGTATTTCTTTTGTGCTTGTCACCCATGAGAGGGAGGCAAAGAAGTCGGCATCACTGAAGTAATAGCATATAAATGGCATATTCTGAGGATGACGAGACTCTTTGAATAGTATCTCAGACCGGTCACTCAGCACAACTACATCATTCTTTGAATCATCTAAATTTTCCTGGGGAGAGTCATGGCATAAAGTAAGAGAACAGGACACAAATGTACTAAATATATTCTCACTTAAGCTACAATTGAAGTAGTTCCAAAAGTCATGCCGCACCCTCAAGGACCACTCATGTTAAGCCCACACACGCACAACGTATCACTTATGGACACCTACTCTTAGCAAGCACATAACAAAACCCCCAACATGAGAGAACCAAACCTCTTTAGGGCCTCTGTGGGCAAATTTTATAGTGTGAGCATAGGGGAAACTGATGTTCTTCTCAATATGAAATTAACTATACCTCTCCTCTAACATTCTCCCTTCTGTCTAAAACAGTGGTTCTCAACCTTCCTGATGCCGCGACCCTTTTATACAGTTCCTCATGTTGTGGTGACCCCCAATGTCATTGTTACAAATTGAACATAATTAAACCATAGTGATTAATCACAAAAACAATATGTAATTATATATGTGTTTTCTGATGGTCTTAGGCGACCCACAGGTTGAGAACCACTGGTCTAAAAGGCACATATGCCATAAAAGACACATTTAACAGTTTAATTAGGAAAGAGCACTGCCATATACCCACATACAATGCAACAGTGTCCCAAAAGTCAGTGCAGCTTTAAGTTATTAAGGCTTAGAAGTACACTAAGTAAGATTTCTAGGACACCCTACCTGGCCTTTAAATTTGACAGGATGATGTATATAAAAAATGTATTATCCCATAGTGATAGAATATGTGCTATTCAACATGAAATTGGGATCCTTATACACAGAGTTAACTTTAGCAAAACTGAGGTTGGCAAATGTTTTCTCTAGTGCCTTCTCCTTTCTCTTTTATTTATTATTTTGTTGTTGTTAATCCTCACCTGAGGCAGTGAGGGAGGGGGAGAGACAGAAAGAAACATTGATATGAGAGAGACACATCGATTGGTTATCTCCCACACATGTCCTGAACTGAATTGAACTGCAAGGTATGTGCCCTTTACCAGAATCGAATCCGAGACCCTTCAGTCCGTGGGTAGGTACCCCAACCACTGAGCCAAAACAGCTAGGCCTCCTTTCTTTTTTGGAAAAATCTCTTTTCTCAGAGGGCTGGTTCCTCTGACAAATCTCCAAAGTGTTCACCTTCCACTATCAAAATGTCCTTGCAAGACCTGGCTGGTGTGTCTCAGTTGTTAGAGTTTCATCCCATGCACTGAGGGGTTGGATTCTGGGCCCTGTTCTGTATATGTGCAGGAGGCAACCAATCCATGTCTCTCTCTCACATCAAGGTTTCTCTTTCTTTCTCTCTCTCTTCCTCCCTCCCTCGCTGCCTCCCTTCCACTCTTTCTAAAGAGTCAATGGAAAATGGGTGAGGATTAACAGCAACAACAACAAAAAATGTTTTGCAAACCCTGGCCAGGTGGCTCAATGTTGGTTGGAGCATTGTCCTGTACAACAAAAGGTTACAGGCCGATTTCTGGTCAGAGCACATACTAGGTTGCAGGTTTGAGCCCCAGCTGGGGTGCATACACAAGGCAACCAATTGATATTCCTCTCTCTCATCGCCTCTCTCTCTCTCTCTCTCTCTCTCTCTCTCTCTCTCTCTCCCTCACTCCCTCTCAGATGAGGAATTAAAAAAGGGTCTTTCCAACAGGTTCCTAGACTCATTTAGAAATTGATGGTCCACTTCTTCCTAAGGTGACAATTGCCTTTATGGTCTCCTCTGCCTGCTTCCATGGATCTATGCTCCTCAGAAGTGCTCATAACTATTAAGATAGACAGAGGCAAATAACGTTTATGTCCTACATATACATTACCTTGCTTTTAGGTATGTCACTTATGAGGTATTTAAAATCCTTCCACAGGGGAATGAGTCTGGGGGAAGACATCACCTTGATTATCCCTGGTCCTGCTCAAGACCATTCCTTAAAAACCTGTGGAAATCCAAAACATGACAGCTTAGCCACTATACTTTTTGAGGAGCTAGGAATCAGAAGGCAAGATCCATGAACTCATGTTTATTACACACTTTTTACAGGAACTATATGTAGGACATACTTTCTCATTTAATCCTCACTCAAGCCCAGTAAGGTAGGCATTATTTCATTTTATAGACGAGAAAACTGAGGTTTGGAGAGAGTATATCAAAGAGTTGAGGATTGAATCTTAATGATCATAACCCAGCGGGACTTATGGGTGAGGGAAGCAGAGAGGGGCTAGAAAGGAATACTGTCCTAGGCAAATAATAATTCTTTGCTGCTGGTGGTGTGGTAAGAGAGCATTTTTCATGGACTAGGAGTTCCAAAGTTCCAAAGGGCAGAGGGTATGTCTCAAAATGCAGATCCCAGGTCCTGCTCTGGACCTACTGAAACACAACCTTGGAGATGGGATTCAAGGACCTTCACCTGTAACAAGCTCCCTAGATGAGTCTATGGACATTCAAGTCTGACTACTGAGATAGGAAATTGAGATGTTGGGTGCTTAGGACTAAGGGTTAGCCCACATAGCACAGCTGGAGAAAGGATCCAGACATTTTTCCCAGGCTGTTGGAATCAAGTAGCTCCCTTACATGTGAATCAACTGTTCGTCATCCTCTTCTGCACTCCCTTATCTTTGGCTTTCATGAGAACAAACCTGTACTTTTCCCAAATGGATTGTGAATAAATCCTACATTTAACAAGCCCCCTCTGCCAGGGAGTCTCTCATTACTGTCCTGACAATAGGCCTGTTTTCTTCATTTGTAAAATGAAAATGCTAGTGTTGCCTATTTCACAGGACTGTTGCAAAGATCAAATAATTCTTGTGAATACTTTTTAAAGTATACTCTGAAGCAACAAACAATTATTATGATTGCTGTTTTTAGGCTGGTTTGGTTTCAGACAAATATTTCCTTCCAACCCATAATTTGTACTTTCCTCTTGCTCTGGAAACCTGAAGTAAGTTTATAGTTTAGCCAGAAGAGGGCAATGGAGGCCATCCTTGAGCCTGCCAGATGAATAAAATATGAACTTTCAGTTTAAAGAAGTGGTTCCCCAGAACCAAGATGGTGCCATAGGTAAACACGAGTATGCGGCACCTCCTACAACCACATCAAAATTACAACTAAAATACAGAACAACTATCGTTCAGAACTGCCTGAAAGCTGACTGAATGGAAGTCCTACAACTAGAGGAGTACAGAAGAAAGCACATTAAAACTGGTAGGGGTGCAGGTGCAAAACAGGCTGATCTGACACCCATATGTGCTTCTTTTTAATCAGGAGGGAGATCATCTCTGCAGAGGCCATGTATGAGAAGCAAGAGGTCCCAACCTTACACCAGACTCCCAGCCCTGGGTTCCTGAGCTGGGAAGAGAAGTTCCCTAACTTCGGGCTGAAAACACTAGCGGGGATTGTGGCTGAGTACATTGGAGATTGTTGGAGACCTGGGTGTTCCTTTTAAAGGGCTGGTGCATGAACTTACTAGGACTCAATCCCTCTGAGCTCCAGGACTAGGGGGCTTTGGGGGACCCAGGGACATATGGGGAGGAACTGGATTGTCTGACATCAGGGCAGGAACTTGGGGGCAGCTTTCTCCCAGATAGGGGTCCTCCTAGGGATCATTGTTCCTGTACTGTCACAGAGCTTACTGGCAGCATATCTGAGTTTCCCTCAGCCTTGCTCACACTGTTTACTCCACTCTGGTGATTCCCTGAGACCCCGCCCCATCCAATTTGCAGCCCCACCCAAGATGTTAGCAGCAGCTTTTCCAGAGAGTAGTGTGCCAGAAGAGACATAAAGGGAGAGAGGGACAGAGAACATTTTTGAAAAAATAATGGCAGAAACTTCACTAACCTGGTAAAGGAAAAAGTCACACAAGTTCAGGAGAACAAAGAACTCCATGCAAGAAGAACCCAAATAGACCCACACAGAAAAACATCATAATTAAAATGTCAAAAATTAAAGAGAAAGAGATAATCTTAAAGGCAGCAAAAGAAAAGCAAACTGTTACCTACAAAGGAACTCCCATAAGGCTGACACATGATTTTTCATCAGAAACAATACAGGCCACATTACCATATTGAACAAGGCTATCATTCAAAAATAGATGGTCAAATAAAGACCTTCCCAGACCAAAAAAAAAAAGGATAAAAAAGTACATCACCACCAAGCTAGCATTACAAGAAATGCTAAAGGGATTTCTGTAATGAGAAGAAGAAATAGAGAGAGAAACCTAGCCATACAGAATTAAAATGGCAATAAATAAATTCCTATCAATAATAACCTTTTTTTGTAAATGGATTAAATGCTCCCATAAAAAGACGCAGGGTAGCAGAATGGATACAAAAACCTGACCCAACTATATGCTGTCTATAAGAAACCCACCTCACAACAAACGGCACACACAGGATAGAAAAACAAATCCATGCAAATGGAAAAGGAAAAAAAGCTGGAGTAGCAATACTCATATCCAACAAAATAGACTTCAAAATGAAAACTATCACAAGAGACAACAAAGGTCACTGCATAATACTACAGGGATCAATCCAACAAGAGGATATAACCCTGGTAAACATATATGCACCCAACATAGGAGCACCTAAATACAAAAAACAACTTCTAGAGGACTTTTAAGGGAGAGATCAACACCCCACTAATTTCACTGGATAGATCTTCCAGACAAAAACTTAACAAGGAAATAGAGACTCTAAAGGACACACTGAATCAGATGGATTTAATTGACATTTATAGACTACTAGAGGCCCGGTGCACAAAAATTTGTGCACTCTGGGGGAAGGGGGGGCCCCTCAGCCTGGCCTGTGCCCTCTCGCAGTCTGGGACCCCTCAGGAGATAACGCCCTGCTGGCTTAGGCCTGCTCCCAGGTGGCAGAGGGCAGGCCCAATCCCTAGGTGCAGTCCCTGGTCAGGCTCAGAGCAGGGCCTATTGGGGAGTTGGGGCGCCGCCCCCTGTCATGCACAGAGCAGGGCCGATTGGGGGGTTGGGGCACTGCCCCCTGTCACACTCAAGGCAGGGTCGAGGGGGAGGTTGGGGCGCCACCCCGTCACACACAGAGCAGGGCCAATCAGGGGGTTGGGGCGCTGCCCCCTGTCACGCACAGAGCAGGGCCCATCAGGGGGTTGAGGAGCTCCCCTGTCACTCAGAGAGTAGGGCCGATAGGGGAGTTGGGGCACCACCCCCTGTCATACACAGAGCAGGGCCGATCAGGGAGTTGGGATGCCACCACTCTCACACTCAGGGCAGGGCCGATGGGGAGGTTATGGCTCTACCCTGTCACACACAGAGCAGGGCCAATCAGGGGTTTGGGGCACCGCGCCCTGTCACACACAGAGCTGCAGGGCGATCAGAGGTTGGGGAGCTCCCCCATATCAGGCACAGAGCAGGGCTGATCAGGAGGTTGGGGCGCCTTCCCCTGTCACGAACAGAGCAGGGCGGATAGGGAGGTTGTGGCCCCACCCCCTGTCACACACAGAGCCGCAGGGCGATCAGGGGGTTTGGGCACTGCCCCCTGTCACGCTGATCCCGGTGCCGGGAGGCCTCTTGGCTCCGCTGATCCCGGTGCTGGGAGGCATATTACCCTTTTACTATATAGGATAGAGGCCTGGTGCATGGGTGGGGCTGCCTGGTTTGCCCTGAAGGGTGTTCTGGATCAGGGTGGGGGTCGCCACTGGGGTGCCTGGCCAGCCTGGGTGAGGGGATGATGGCTGTTTGCAGCTGGTCACACACCATTCAGGATGGGGGTCCCCACTGGGGTGCTTGGCCAGCTTTGGTGAGGGGATGATGGCTGTTTACAGCTGGTCACATACCCTTCAGGGTTGGGGTCCCCACTGGGGTGCCTGGCCAGTCTGGGTGAGGTGCTGAGGGCTGTTTTCAGGCTGGCGGGTGACAGAAGCTCCCAACCGCTCCTTTTTTTCTTTTTTCTTTTTTAATTCTGGGCCAGCTTTAGCTCTGAGGCTCCAGCTCTTAGGCCTCTGCTGCTGAAAGTAGGTAATCGAAACAATGTATAACTCCAGCTCTGACTCCAGCTCTGAGATCGCAGCTCGCTGAAAGCTGGTTTCTGGGGTTTTTTTTAGCTTCTATATTTGTTAAAATGTTTCAAACTGCAGGCTCAGAGGCCGGCAAGGCAGGCGGGAAATGTTGGAATTCTCCGTCACTGAAGCAAGCAAGCCTCATGTTAGTTTCAAGCTGCCTGGCTGCCGGCCGCCATCTTGGCTGACAGTTAATTTGCATATCTCCCTGATTAGCCAATGGGAAGGGTAGTGGTCGTACTCCAATTACCATGTTTCTCTTTTATTAGATTAGATTTCACCCCAAAGCTGCAGAACATACATTCTTCTCAAGTGCACATGGATCATTCACAAAGATAGACCACATGTTAAGACACAAAACAAGTCTCTACAAGTTCAAAAAGACTGAAATCATATCAAGCATCATTTTCAAATCATGGAATTAAGTTAAAAATTAACTACAGTACAAACACCCAAAAACATTTAAACACATAGAGGCTAAATAGCATGTTATTAAACAATGAATGAGCCACCAACAAGATCAAGATAGACATAAAAAAAACTTCCTGAAAACAAATGAATATGAACACACAACAACCCCAAATCTCTGGGACACAGCAAAAGCAGTCCTCAGAGGGAAGTTCATAACACTACAGGTCTATGTCAACAAATAAGAAAAACAAATAATAAACTATTTCATCCTACAACTTAAAGAACTAGAAAGAGAACAATAAGAAAAGCCCAGAGTAAGTATAAGGAAGGAAATAATAAAAATTAGAGTAGTAATAAATGGCATAGAGACTAAATAAACAATGCAAAAAAATCAATTAAACCAAGAGCTAGTTTTTTCAAAGGATAAACAAAATTGATGAACCATTAGCCAGA